AAAAAAAAAAAAAAAAAAAAAAAAAAAAAAAAAAAAAAAAAAAAGAAACGCGCTCTTGACACTCGGTCACCTTTTTTCCACCGAGTTATACAACTCGACTCCGCCAGTCGTTTTTTTTATCATTTCATCGCGCCGTTCAAATTTCACAGCGTGAGAAATACCACGTTTTCTGAAACTTCCTTTCGAACGATCGATCCGACGATTATTTAACGATCGTCGATTTGCATTCCCATCCGATCCAGAGATCTCTCCACCGACGAGCGTTTCGACCGTTTCACAGCGTTTCATGCTTCGCCTTAATAGCCAGTTCTTTTATTCAAATGTGATTTTTTTCCCCCCTCCTCCTCTCTCCTGTTGTTGCTCTCCGCAGCTCTCGAGCTCGTTTAACAGCGCCACTCCAGATGTTATCTCGAAGGAGACGAGGAAATCTGACCGAGGAAAATCGATTTGAAATTCAACAGAGGCTCGATACCTTTCGAGCCGTAACGAGATGTTGCTCGCTAATAGGGCGGTTAAGAGCCATCCTCGATTATCGTTTAGCGTAGCCTTGCACGTGTACCCTCGCTTCTCCGATCATCACGTGGCTTCGAGACGAAAGTTGAGATTAAAACAGAGAAAAAACCGTCCATCCATTTTTCTTCGTTCGATAATCGCGCCATTTCCTGACCTAGACCAAGAGAATCCATCGAAAACTTGGTATAATGATACGTGTGCGCAATACGATTCTCACGAATATTTAAAAAAAACGTTCAATCAATCTATCTCTACGAATCTTCTTGCCAATCTTCCGTCAAAAATTTCTTTGAGGAAAGAGGAGGAAAGAGGAGAGAGAGATAGAGAGTCCAGCCGGTGCGTGCAGGTTTCGGGAACCCTGAACTTGAACCTGAACCGTGAAGCGTGGCTCCTCTCTCTCTCTCTCTCTCTCGGTTTCTAGGTTGATCCGGGTCAGGTGTGCCCTCGCCACGGGCCTTCGAATCGAGGTTAGGGCTGGATTCCGCCCTGACCGACCCCGGTCTACCTGTGAACCTCCGGCAAATCGCACGGATGACCTCCAAGCGAGTGGCGCGCACGCGCCACTCGGCGATTCTGGAAACGGGACAGCTGCCGTTCCGTTTCCTTCTCCCCTCCCCCTCACAACACCCTTCCTCCCCGCATCGACCTTGGCCCGTCTTCAGGTGGCCCCAGCCTGCAAGAACGAGCTATTTTGTCGATTCAAGGGGACACCCTTTCTTCAAAAAAAAAGAAAGGAAGAAGTCGAGAGTTTGTCGATCAATAATTTTCTATGGCGTTCGATAAAAAGAAGAGATAAAAGTGCTTTGCCATTCTTTTTCGATCGATTTTAAAATTCGACGTTTTTGGAATTTTTGGAAGAGATACGAAGTTTGAGATTCCAACAGATTTTCCAAGGATTGATTTGTGATTCTTTTTTTCAAACGAGTGATTGGATTTTTGTGAAACGAAAATGGGAGGGGTTTCGAGGGGAGAGGCACGAGTCGCCGATGACCGGTAAAAATACCGGTCGAGTGAGTAATTTTGTGGAAGAGCAGGCTGGGGATCTGGGAAAGAGGAGTTGTATAATAAAAGAAAACGCGAGTCGATCGGTTGCGTTGCACATGCACCGAACGTCCTTGAACAATCGCCGACCGCTCCTCTTCTTGCACGCGACTCGCCATGTTTCAACTTCTTCGCGAATAATTTCCTCGCCATTTTATATCCACGGCTCTTCTATATCATTATACAGCGAAGCAATTTCGAGGAAACGATTCCTGTAATCTTCCTTCTTTCTCAAACTTTCACCGACGAAGTTGATTTCGAATTCTTTATTTTCCACGTTGAAATTGTAATTTTTCTTTTTTTCTTTTTCGAAATTCATCGATCGATGAATATATGAATATATTCGCAACGAGGGCATCTGAGAATTCTTCGATTTTAATATTTGCTTCGTTGCCACGCCGGATCGTTTATTTTTCAACGAAAAACGAGGAGATAAATTTGTTTCTAAAAATTGTCACGTATTCGACGCTGTGCTTCTTCTTTTTCTCGAAGGAAAAACTAAAAATTAACGTCAGGTCGGTTAAGATTATAAATTTCTTTTTTCAGAGAATATTATCTAAATATCAACGAAGGACAAATATACAAAATTGATTTATATAACAATCCATTTCAATCTCGCGTTTTGTGAACAAATTTTTCGTATTCACATATAAAATTTTTGGAATTATTTTTAAGTTAATTTTTTTTATTTCACGATTATTCGGATTTTCGTTTGAAATATATAAAAAATTCTATTGTATCGTAACTTGATCCTTTTTAAACCTTCTTCTAGTTTATTACTCCCTTTCTACGTGCGAAAAAATTTTTTTTCCTTTTTCGCTTGATAATCTTCTACGATCCATTATTACATAATGTTACGGCAAATTAATGTTGTGAAACACATTTAAACGGATAACCAAGCCGTTGCAACGTTAACTTGATGTTAATGCTATTTTTACGTAACAGGCAGAGTTAAAAGTCATGCAACAGATGAAAATTACTTTTTTCCCTTGCATACAAATCCGTTAACCTTCCAACGAAAATTCATCCATCCCACGTACAACGATTCATTTCTCCCTATCTCCATTTCGAATTTTTAAAACGATAAATCGTTATAAAAATCATTTTTTTTTTTTTTAATCATTTAATCCACAATTTCGAATTTTTAAATCGACCAGTTTTGCTTTTAACCCAGTAAAAACAATTTTATTTTTTTTTTTTTTTTCTTTTCAAGCGACACTCGGCTGCCGCGTAAAACAGTTCTGTCTCCATTATTTCCCACAATCTGCGCTTCTAATCGCCAGAGTTGTCGGTGTCTCTGATGTTACGTCCACCGACGTAGAGGAAACCGGACATGATTACACAGACTCGGTTGAAGCTTGGTTGAGCAGCGCG